AAAAAAAAAAAAAAAAAAAATGCAGATTCCTCAAGGCTATGATCACACCATTGCCACTCCAGTCTGGGCAACAGCAAGACCCTGTCTCAAAAAATGCAGATTCCCAGGCTCAGTGTCCAGAGATTTGGATTCAGTAGTTCTAGGGAGGTGCTCCAGAATATGAATTTCAAACATGACAGACTAACCCCATAATATTAAAACTGAGAAAACATTTGCCCAGAATCTAGGTCTCATTAACTCAGGACAGTAGTCTTCCCACTATACCACTTAAACTACACACTTTATAGTTGAAGGAACTGGTACAAAGAAAAGGTTAAGTTACTAATATATCATATGAGTCAGTAAGCAATCCTAGAATATGTCCTGGCTCCAATTCCTTTTAATTATTCATTAAGTACTTCTTAAACATCTTCTATGTGCATAGCAATATGGTAGATTACAAAACAATTTAAGATATGAACACTATCCTCTGGAAGCAATTATGAGTTGGGAGGACAAAGTACAAAAAACTGATATTCAACAGCAGGTAATATATAACTAGGTGCCAAAATAAGTGGTATGGCCAATTATAAAATTAACTGATTTACTCACTTCACTCAGTACTTTTTATAGTTAGAATTAACCCATCGGAGATCAATAGTCAACTTCTTCTCTTTCACCGTTAAAAAAGGTGGCCTTTAACAAAAGAAAGATGTTGTCTCTGTGTGCAATAAACATCTCTCTCCTCTCATTTCAATATACCCGTCAATATCAATACCACTATCACCACATCATCCCATGTGCCAGGATAGCCTTTGCAGAGACTATGGTTTGTATGCCCCACTCAAATGATAAGAGAAGAGAAGCCCCGCTTCTGGACCATCTTCCTGATTATATGTGGTAGATTGAGGGTTTCAATTCTTCATTCTTTTGCAATAGTACTACACATCCATATATTACATTAGCCTCATTACAGGCAAAGTGTACTTTGATACCTCTTGTCTTTAGGCTTGGCCATATGACTTGCAGCAGAGTCTGGAAATGTGCTGGTGGGTTGGGCTTGCCCTCTTATGTTTCTGCCAAGGCCATGACATAAACTTCCTCCAGATAGATGTTACCCCTCCCTCCAGCCTGGACCCCAGAAGACACAAAGCGCAGAATAAATGCATATTGTTGCATGCCACTAAGATTTTTGTGGTTGCCAATTATTATGCAGCAAAAAGTCATTGAATCACCATATTTAATAAATTCAAACAATCAGGACTGATGATATAAAGCAGTGGTCCTCAAACTTGCCTGAGTAAGACTCTTTTGGGTTTTAAATTTAAAAATACATATATATAGGTCCCAGAGAGATCCATTCAATACATCTAGGCTGTAGGGCCAAAAATATGCATTTTATTAAGAACCCCAGGTAATTCTGTTGTAGTACCCACACTTTGAGAAACACTAAAGTGAAAATTACTTAATTTCTAGTTACTCAACAATATTCACTAACTGCTCGAGAACACTTAACTAACACTAGATTAATCTCACTTCAGACAACATGTGTGTTCCTAAAGAGATGTAAAATTGTAATCTAGTCAAGTGAATTATTTCAAATACATATGAAGCTTGACCTTTAAATAATACCTGTGCTGTAGTTTCTTTTTAAAATTAAGAATTCGTGTATAAACAAAACAAGCACACCTTTTTTTTTCATAAATTCTATTTTTTTGCATACCAACAGTCCGTAGAATTAAGAAGTCCAAGAACTATATACGGTAAGTGGAAAGAGGGATTCAAAAGAAATGATTTATTCACTATCCCAAAGAGGGATGTGCTATCAATTAGTCTTCTGACATTTTTTTCCTGTTCAGCTGCACTATTTGCTTTTGTCCAGTTACATCACTGAATCTATGTATCCCAAATTCACACAGGCTGTCTCTCGTCACCTTGCATTTAATGAAGCTGCACTAGCCACTTCAATATTAGGCAAAGTATGACATATTCAGAACCATGACATTTGCATGACCAGTGCTGTACTAATATCATGTAAATGTCCCTGCTTCTTTTCAAAGGTTGATGTGGTGAAGGCATTACTCTATCTCATGTACCCAATTAGAGTGAGGAGAAGTTGTTGCTGCTGCTGTTATCATCATTAATGTGGTAGGTAAGGGTAGGTAAGGGTAAGACTATAATCCTGGCTCCATAATTTACTGACTGTGTGGTAAATTATTCAAATTCTCTGTACTTTACTGTCCCTCTCTGTAAAAGGGGAATAATAATAACCTACAGAATTGTCAAGAGAATCAAATGTGAAAATTTATGTAAAGCTATTTGAATAGTTGCTGATGCACACAGGGCTCAATAAACACTAGCTAACATTGTTACAGCTCTGAAATCCAGCTTCGCAAATTTTGTCATCTGGTGCTGTATTATATTACAGGAAAAAAACACTAAAACCACCTTGAAGCAGTGATTCTTTTAATGCATCCCTTTTAAGGAACATTATTCTAAGAATACTTTATTTACCAAACAAAAATTAAGTTTATTTTTAAATCAGTGTGGTTTTTTGGTTACTTTTATCAGTTCTGATCACAAAATTATGAGCACGTCATTATAAATAAGGATCTACATTCTAAAAAGGTCAAGAATAACAAAGAACACTGAAAAATCTATGTTCTGAGATTTCTGCTCATGTGATAACTGGCTAAGCTTAAGGCCTTTTACTCTCTTCATATTTTACAGGAACCACATGGCTTACAGCTAGAGAATTTAAATAGCTAACAATATAAAGAAATTTAGAGAAAAATCACTCATTTTTACTCTGAAAGGAACTGCAATGATTAAAATATTAAAATATTAGTTTCAAAATAAATTCAGAAGTTCAAATTATTTTAACACAATTATATAGATTTATCATAAATAATAGGCACTTGACTTGGAAATTCACACTGAGGAGGAAAATTAAAAAAAGAAAAAGAAAAATAATAATAGGCACTAATAGGCACTAATCAGCAATACCGAAAGCACAAAAAGAAACTTCAAATTTTCTTTCAATAATTTCTCAGAGCAAACTTTTAAATGGAAATAATAACTTCTGTGTCTAATATAACAAGGAGAAATTTATTGAATGCGAAAATTAAACACTTATAAAAAGAAAAAAGTAATTGGAAAGTGTCATTTCGTTCTTTATTTACTTTTTAAAAACATAATCCATTTGCCATCCTAAACCAAACTTAAGAATTATATGGGCTGGGCGCAGTGGCTCATGCCTGTAATCCTAGCACTCTGGGAGGCCAAGGCGGGTGGATCGCTCAAGGTCAGGAGTTCGAGACCAGCCTGAGCAAGAGCGAGACCCCGTCTCTACTAAAAAATAGAAAGAAATGACCTGGACAACTAAAAATACATATATAGAGAGAGAAAAAAAATTAGCCGGGCATGGTGGCGCATGCCTGTAGTCCCAGCTACTCGGGAGGCTGAGGCAGAAGGATCGCTTGAGCCCAGGAGTTTGAGGTTGCTGTGAGCTAGGCTGAGGCCACGGCACTCACTCCGGGGCAACACAGGGGGATTTTGTCTCAAAAAAAAAAAAAAAGAATTATATGTACAATTCACTCCTGAAAATTTCTAAACACAAATCACCAAAGGCTGCTTGAAGAAATAACTGCAAATGGAATGTGAGGTTTTTTTTTTAAGGTGTCTGAGAACTAAAAAGAAAATATCCAAAGAAAAGGATGACTATCATTTCCCTTAGGCTTTAATAAAATGTCAAAGAACTTTCAGGCGTCAAATCTCCTAGAAGTCTGATGTCAGGTCAAAGTTGCCTCAATGACAGAAAAGCCAATAGATGCCAGACAACTAAAAGTAAAGTTGCCAAAATACTTCTATGCCCAACAGTACTGTAATTCCAGAAGCATACAAAATACTAATGTTCAGGTTGAAAAGATAAAGATATTATTGAAATACTTGGAAACAAAATAATACCAATAAGTAAATAAGATAAACAGTATTACACAACGTATCAAGAATCTCACAATTCTGGCTTCCTGAACATTCATTCTATTCATTCGGTAACATTTTTGAATAATGAAAGTAACATGGATTCCCAAAGAGTGATCTAAATCTAAAAATAACGTTCGAGTGTGTGTTCTCTACTTGATGTTCTTTTTACTATAAGCCAAATCCACTTCTTTATATTAAAACAAAATCTACAGCTCTGTTTCCAAAGATCTTATAGACACTGTTCACTGGTGATTAAAATATTATTTTTAATCCTTGCATTACCTCACAGCTAAAAATGTCAAGATACCACACCCAATATGTCTTTTTTTCCCGTGGAGGGGGGTTGGGGTGGGGACTATGGGAGTGGGGATAGGAAACTACACAAAAACATTAAAGGTGATTTCCTTGGAAAGAGAGGGGAACGCGCAGGCAGCCGGTGGCGGCTCCCCTCCACAGTGATCCAAGGGGACGCGTCGCGAAGGGCGAGCACAGGCCTCGGCTTCTGCGTGCTCCCTCCCACGCCACCCGCAGGGGAAGTGGCCGGGACGCGCCACCCCGGGCTACTCACCGGCCGCAGTGCTGACCAGCAGGATGGTCCGCAGTAGCCAGGGCACCCGCCAGGGCCGCTGCAGCGAGGAAGTCATCCCTGAGCCAGCCAAGAAGCAGGAAGGCAAAAAAAAAAAAAAAAAGAAATATGGAAAGTAGATACGGGCGGAGAAACGCGGCCAGGAGGCTTGTCTTCTCTCTCGTTGACTTATCCTGCCCGTATTACAATGCAGTTTGAAAGGACAAATGGCAGATGAGAGGACCTAGCTGCAGAGCTTATATTCCGCTGCAGAAATTCCCTTCATTTCTCTCCCTCGAGGTTGGAGGGGTTCATTCGCCTAGGACGGGGTGCCTCGGCCCACCAAACTGAACGCATGTCCGTGGGGAGGAGGGAGCCAAGAAGAAATCCCCCAAGTTATTTCCCTCGTAGTTTCACAATATCAAAAAAATATCCAGGTCTGGGAGAAAACATATCCAGGGTGTAGAGGGGCAGAGGGCGGGGATTCGACGGGGTCGGGAGGAGGGGAGGACGAGGATCAGAACTAGTTCCCGGCTGCCGGGAAGGGCGAAGCCGGGCGGGCGACGGCGGCGCCCGGCTGCCCGAGTCGCATCGCCCGCGGCTCCGGAAAGGCAGGATTCCTTAAGTTTCGCTTCGGTGCTTCCTTCACTCCGATTTCGAAAACAAATCCTCTTCCTCGACTGGATCGAAAAAGGTGCCTGACTCCATGGACAAGCCCATAGCCTCCACGCTTTCGCGGAACAATCGTGCGGGGCTCTAGCAGACCCGGCGGAGGGCTGAGGGGCGGTGGGAAGGGGGGGAGGGGTCGGCAGGCAGGGCCCAGAGCTCCCCGAGACAGCGGGCGGAGACGGGGTGCGGAGGGCTGCCCCTTCTAGCCCTCCCGGTGCGCTCCTTTCTCTTTCTCGCTCTCTTTTATTCCTGCTGTTCGATCTTGCCTGAGGTAAATTCCACCATGAACGCCTTGTCTTCTCCCGTCAATGGCTCCTGTGAGAGAACCACAACCCCCCGAAGAAGCCGCCGCCGCCTCCGCCGCCGCCGCCTCGTTCTCCCGCAGCTCTGGGCTCCGGGCGGAGCTCGGGCGTCGCGGGCCGAGGGCGGGGGGCGGCGGGAGGGCGGATGTAGGTGTCCCGGGAGGGGGGTGGGCAGCGGGGCAGCGAGACAGCCTGCGCCCCTCCGGGAAGCACTTCTAGTGGCTCCGAGCAGACCAGACACAAAGGGGGGAGTCGCCGCAGCTGCCAGTCTGCGGCGCTCCCGGTCACCGGAGTCGCCCCGCCTCCGCCGCCGCCGCCTCCGCCTCCGCCTCCGCCTCCTCCACCTCCTCCACCTCCTCCTCCTCCTCCTCCTCAGTCTCCGGCTCTTCCCGGCCCTGTCTGCCTCGGGCCTGTGGTGCAGCGCGGGAGGCGGCGGCGAGACGAAGCCCGCAGTGCGCCTGCGCGCTTTCGGCCCCGCCCGTTCCTGCCCCTCGCTCCGGGGCTGGCTGGGGACTCGGAGGCCCTCGCGCGGCGTGTCTCTGCCTTGAACCGCCGAGAGCAGGGTGGGGCTGGCCATCCGCGGCAGACAGCAATGGCCTTTCTCTACACACCCACCCACCCACACACACAACTTCCATGTGTGAATGGCTTGAGGTGTGGGGGGAAGGTGTGTGTGTGTGTGCGCGCGAGAGAAGGCGGTCACATCTTTTGTCCAGTGTTCGGCATACTCTTCCGAGATCCGTGATTTAGCTCGACTGAATCATTGCTGTTTCCTCGAGATTCTTGGAGGAAAGCCTGGAGGGGCAGAATTTACTGAGCCTTCCCCCGCCCCCAGTTGTTTCTTGGGGCCGGAGCCTCCCTCTCCGGAGCCCGAAGAATCCGGATGGACCCGCCTTTCCCAGGACCGGAGACTTTGGCCTCCTCAAGCTTCCTCACTGACTCAAACAAAAGCTGGAATTGGAAAGACCAATTAATGTGTTTGCTCTTATCGACGTCCTGCTTTCCTCAAGCACCGATTCCCACAGCCCTTCTTAGCTGACAGGAATTTTGAATATTTGCTAGGATGCAAAGCCAGGAAAAAAAATTCTGCAAACCGTCCTGCTGTGTATGCACGTCTGTCTGTACAACGCGGTTCCCTCTTCTCCTAGGGCCTTTATTCGAAAAGGCTGGGGGTTTGGGGGGCTTTTTAGGGCATGTGAAAGGAAAACTGACGTAGAGAGTTGTTGCCTCAGGGTAGAGTGCGATCGAGTCGTCGCATCCAAGGAATTGAGAAGGTCCTGTTGGTACCGCAGTTTTCTAGAATCTGTTTAGTCCGATTTTTCGATTTGCAAATCTGGTTTTTACCCAAGAAACCAAGATGGGGCAGGGGTTTCTCCCGCCGCCCTGCCTCCCTTACACACCCCTACGGGATCAGCCGACTTGGGTGGGATTTGGCTGGGGGAGAGGGAAGAAGGTGACGTGCGTGGCGCCATGATCGGAAGTCTGGGTTTAATTCTTAGCTGCGAGGTGGAAAATTTGCGTGGGAGGGCGATCTTAAGAGGTGAAGTCTAGCCTTCCCTTCTTCCATAGGCAGAAGGGTTATTCTGAAGGCTGGTTTTGCTGGTCTTTCATTGTGGCTAATGGCAGTGCCAAAGATACATTCACAAATACGCTCCTGAAGTCATACTCTTTGCTTGCTTATGCAAGTCTCTTTTTATCTCTTTATCTGAACTTGATGTAAATAAATCTCCACATTCCTTAAACTGGTTTCTTTTATCATACTAAATAAACATCTTCTATAATTAGGGGTTGTGGTAATTCCAACCCAGGATTCTGAAACTCCTTTTAGTTGAAATATTTTTATACTATTTATCCTTCAGGCAGAGAAAACATTTTTCTATATAGTAAAATCCCTTAAAAAGAGAAGCATATGCTTTGATTCATTAGCTTTATTACTATATTTTGTTTTGCCTGAAAGGCTTATAATGAGAAACCGGTAGGTACTGTCTTACCATTGGTCTTTCAAGAAATGAGATGTGGCATAGTACCAGAGAAATAGGATTTTAGTATGTTAGAGGTGCAGAAAGTTTATTAATAGGTAGTATACTGTTTTGTTTTTCTTCCTCAAATCGAGATCAAGTACATAATTGTGCAATTTTTATTTGCTAAAAATTTTTTCTAAGAAACATTAAGTACATACATACAGTAGTCTCTCCCCCATCTGAGATTTCAGTTACTTGAGACCAACCAAGGTCTCAAAATATTAAATGAAAAATTCCAGATATAAACAATTCGTAAGTTTTAAATTGCGCGCCATTCTGAGTAGCATGCTGAAATCTCATGCTGTCCTACTCTGTCCTGCCTGGCTGTGAATCAACCTTTTGTCCAGTGTATCCACGCTATTACACTCCATAGTCACTTAGGAGCTGTCTCTGTTATCAGCTGGACTGTCGCAGAATCACAGTGCTTGTGTTCAAGTAATCCTTATTTTACTTAATAATGATCCCCAAAAAAATACATGCCACTGACTTGGTAGGAATAATTAGGAGACAATGAGATATGCAACCCACCTCCCTTTTCTGTTCCTCTTTGTAATATCTCAGTTGTGACATAGCTATTCACTCACAATGAGAAAGAACATCAAAGAAGAATTAGGATTTGGCAAGGAACCTGTCCACTATACAAAACAAGTCAAGCTCAGGTGAGAACAAAGGATTGGTAGAACAGGTAAGGTTTGGCATCTGTATTAAGCAAGATGAGCTAGATTGTAATAACATCCCCCAAATCTCAGCAGCTTATTGCAACAATCGTTTGTCTCTCCTACATTTTACATGTTTGATATAAGTCATCGGGGAGCCTATCATGAATGGAGTTCACCAGGAAAGAAACCTTGAAACTCTGAAATTTGTATGTAGGAGGTTATTAGGTAATGCTGTCAAGAACAACCTCTGTGGGTACTGAGGGATGCAGGATTGGGCAGAGGGAGAAGTTGCAACTAAGGCTTCAGCCAATCCTACAGGGAGTTCTGTAGCTGGGTTGGTCCTTTAACATTGTCCTAAATTGAGGCAGGAAGCCAGATTCTTATACCTACACATCAACTAGTCATTGGATGTAGACTGCATCCAGAAAATGGATGTGATCTTGGGCAAAAGGGCTCTCTTTAGCCAAGAGCAACCCCCAGAGAGAGAGACCCAGCTGAGAGCTGTCAGCCACAAACATGTGGAACAGTCAGGAGAAAGACTGCTTCAGACCTAAAGGGTGGGTCTTGGGAGGTCAGCACAACATCCATTGCATGGACTCTGTGTATTAGAGTTACTGAGGTCCCAGATTGGTGGATGCTTCACTGAGACACATGCTTTCAAGATTGCCCTTGTAGGGATCATAAACTTTAATTGCTAGTGTTGCAGTATCTTGCTCTAGCCATTAAAAAGCTTCCACCCAGAAGCAATGTGCTTCTCTTCCACTCACATTTTATTGGCCAACGAAGTCACATGACCAAACGTAACTTTAAGAGAGCAGGAAATGTAATCCTACCATGTTACTAAAAAGAGAACCTGAATATTTGTGAACAGCTCTAATGACTAACATGGGTAAAATAATCCCCAGTACTCTAGTCACCAAAAGCCCAACAAGTAGGAGGGTGTTCTAACATATGGGAAAAACTCTGGGAGTAAGGAACCAGGAAATGAGGAAGAGCAACACAGAAATCCAGGTCAACAGCCCAACAACATCTACAAGACTGATGGACCTTCACTATGTATTACGGCCCCTCATGGATTATATCTTTCCTTTGAGTTGAAGGACTGGCAAATGCAAAGCAAGATCCTGGTTTTTGGAAGGGACAGGGGCACTAAGAAGATATTATTAATAGAACAAGAACTGGAATAAAGACGAAGGCCAAATCCTTGTTACACGAATGAGGACAAATAGGAGTTACCTGGGTTCAGAAATACTGAATGCTTCTAAGAACAAACCTTTTGATCGTAAAGGGATGGTATCAAAGAAAAATAGAAGAAAAACTCAGCTCTAGTAGAAAAACCATACAGATGCCCAGAAGTCAGCATTGGAACACCTCTCTGGATCAGAATAACAGAAGACAACTTAAAGCTGCTTAGACACTTTAGGATTTTATCTTAAGGCTTAAATGGAAAAATGAGATATGGCATAGTCTCCTTTTGGAAGATCAAGGTATCTTGTGAGGAGAGAAGAAAACCTAGTTAAGGACAGAGAAAATGAAATTGAAGTCTACGGCCGTACCACCATGAACATGCCTGATCCCGTCTGATGTCAGAGGCTAAGCAAGGTCAGGCCTAGTTAGTACTTGGATGGGAGAAAATGAATTAGAGATTGGCATCCTTTGGACCTGAAAGCAACCTCTTAGTGTCTCTCATCCTAAAACAAGCAAAACTTTTAAAAATTAATAAATAAATAGAGCTTTTCTTTCTTTCTTCCTTTCTTTTTTTTTTTCCCCTCTCTTTCAGAGACAGAGTCTTGCATTGGCGCCATCATAGCTCACTGCCCTAGAACTTTCAGGCTTAAGAGATCCTCCTGCCTCAGCCTGCTGACTACTAGAATTACAAGTGCATGACAGGTGTGCACCACCACTCCTGGCCAATTTTTTTGTTTTGTTTTGTTTTTTGTAGGTTTCTCTATGTAGCACAGAGTGGTCTCGAACTCCTGGCCTCTAATAATCCTCCTGCCTCAGCCTCCCAAAGTGCTGGGATTAGAGGCATGAGCCACCATACCAGGCCAGAGCTTTGCTTTTGAAACCTAGATCTATTGTCTCATCTCTTTCCTTCCCTTTTCAGGTAACTTTTGAAATTTTAGTTGCCCTAACTTCTAAGGTCACCCTTCTCTTCAAGAGCAAAATAAAATCATCTGAGCCTCCTATCCTGAGTGACTGACAGCAGGAAAACCCAGCTTCTCCCCAAGCATTTGATGGATTCCAGAGGATTTCTATCTTCTACAAATTTACTTGATTTGCTCTGAACTTCTCTACTGACATCTTGTGAGAGCTTTTCCTTGCTGGTGACAAACACT